CCGTCGGTCTCGAAAGTTTGGGGGTCCTGGAAGACATGTGTTTCTTGCAGCTTCGGGGAGAGGTCTTTTGCAGCTTCCGCGCCAGATGCCAGATGTGGATGTGTATAGATGTCGTGATCCATTATAGATCTATATCCCCGACACGACACATGGGACTACCATATATGCCGATCAGTTGGGGTGGTGCCAGGGGGGTCTGTCTGGGGCGGCAGTCCTATGGCAGTCCCATGTGTCGTGTCTGGGATATATGATGTTTTGGATCTATAATGATACGATTCCCGGTTCAAGAGACCTGAACACCAGAGATGAACACTGATTCAAAGACCAGGTGAGATGTCAGTTGAATAGCCAAGAAGGTGAGATGTGATCTTCTGTTCTTGGGGACTCCGACTCCAACTCTGCTCCAACTCCAACTGAGAACAGGTTAGAGACGTGGAGAGCTTTTCTTGCATCCCATGATGCACCACAGACCAGGACCTTCAAGAGGTGTCTATAAATAGCCTCTTAGTGGTTAAGGGATGTCCAGAGACCACCTGCCAAGGTTGAAGGACCCGAACGTTCGCCTATCCCATAAGTAAGGTCCTAGTTCACTGGCTACCTCTCTTGGTGTTGGAAGGTGCTGGTCCAGGGTCCAAGCTTCAGGTTGCTCTGCACCTCTCTTTTCTCGGCCATACCGTTGGCCCGCCTCATCGGACCCCATTCAGTCGCTGTGTCAGTCAACGACTCGTTTTCTCATGGTGCAGGCTTCACGTCGTTTCTATCTATGTGGGGACCACTACCAGGCCCCCAAGACCCCAAAGGGCTGTTGTTTGGACCCCAAGGGGTGGCGTACACCAACCACGCCGCATTCTTCCAGGCTGTTTCCATCTGTGCCTCGGTGCCTGTCAGGCGCCCCGCGCCTCCGCCCGCGGTGGGGTTGGGCTCCTGGACCCGGTTGGAGGAAGGAACCCCGGTGAAGACGATTCAACCAGGTCTGAGGACTCACCCACCAAGAGAGGTTAAGTGACCTTATAGGACCCTACTGGAGTACCTATGGGATAGTCTACAGGGTCCTTCAACCTCTGTTGGCACCAACAGCCATGAAATCGCCGGTGTTTTTCACCCAGGGGAGGTCGGTCCCGTGATGGGGAAAAAACACCACATGCTCTAGAGTGGTGTTGATGGGGCCGGCCTGGTGAGCGGGTTTGGGAGAATGTCAGCGGTTCAACACATTATATATATATATATATATCACATAACTCATTAAATGCATATATGTGCATAAATTGTATATAAATGTGTATAGTCTATTCATATGGCCAGGGAGGTCCATCAGCAAAAGTGAAGAGGACCTGCAAACTGTTGCAGGGACCAATCCAACGCAGTCTTCCAGCCACCTCGGTGGAATGAGTAGGGGGATTCTGAAGCAAACATGGTTGATCTGAGGGGCACGAGAGCGGAGTACCTTCTTACGCCACCTTTCATGCTGTTTTGTCGGCGTCACGAGTCATGAGCACATGAGCCAAGCTAGGCACGATCATCAAGCTCGAAACCAGTGATACGATGTGCACAGCTCAGGTCGAAGGAAACTCTTGAGTTTCAATGTTCCTTCCTCTCAACGTCTGGATTGGAGTCATTTTCGCCCTCTCTCGTGCCCTCCTTCAGATTCCGAGAGCTGAGATTCTGGCCTTCGTGGCTGACGCGCTCTCGCTTTCTGACCCCAAAGGCTCGCCAACCAGCTCGAAGCTGCTCGTCACCGAGGAAGCTTCCAGGCTCCGAGCTCGTGCCAGGCTCCGAGCTCGTGCTGGGTCCACATCCGCACAGCTCTTCATTCCGAAGTGTCCAGTGAGCCATGAGCAGGTGCCGCAGTGCGGGAAAGTGCCTGGAAAGAGCCTGACTATACACTTCCTGAGGTAATGGAGGTGGATGGCATGGCTCCAAAAGGAACGCAATTGTCCGAAACAAGTGGTTCTCCACTTCCGTGTTGGTGATTCGGACTGCAGGCGCAAAGAGCGCCTGACCAACTGCAGGCTGCACCACATCTCAAAGACACCTCTCGTGCACCAAAGTGGGGCCAATCTCCCAGTACTCCTTAGATTGAAATCAAGAAACCTGGTTGTGCCACCTCCTCTGGACTCCCAAATTCTGATCATGTTTGTCTGCAAGAATCGCCATAAAGATCCACAAAGTAAACATGTGAGAACAAAAACACAGAAAAAACACATGGTGCTGCAGCAATTCTTCAGGATTCCTCACTTGACATCCACATCTTCCGCATGTTCCAGATCGCTAAGGCCACCATCACTCCACCCCGCACGGCGCTTCGGTCACGTTCCGCCAGTGCCACCACGGAAACGGAGCTCGTCTGCGCCAGTGCACCAAGCTCGGAGCACAAGCGCTGGGGAAAGCCCGGGAATAAAGTGCTTCCACCGGAAAGAACCACCTTACTTCAACAAGAAGTCCGTTCTCCACTGCCATGGAACGGGAGTCAGAGCCCTAGACTTCCAAGCACCATTGATTTAGTAGCCTGAATCCCGAGCAACCATTGTTTACTAAGGGCTTTACACTACAAAACCAGGTCAGTGTTTTTTGATGGTCTTGGAAGCCCAATGGCATGGTTTGAGCATCCCTTAGTGAACATCCAAACAAGGCACACGACTGCCCATAAGGCCAGGAGTGGTTTGAGCACTTAGGGCAGGAGGGGTAAGGAGGCCTAGAGGTTTGGTGTGCCATCGGATTTATGGCGCAACTACACTCTGACTCACGAGTCCACATGGAAGTGGATGATATGGCAACTAGGGAGGTTCTCCGCTTCCATGGAACCTGAGTCACAATGGAGTTTTTTGCACTGAAGGTGACTCGCTGCTCTCGTGTTCTACGCGGAAAGAAGCGAAGGGTTGCACTCAGTGACAAGACGGAATCCTCCCACGCTGCGGATTAAATCACCCGTTGCCAAGGTGGTGAATTTATGTCCACTATACCCTCAACAGTACCCTCAACATTGCTGGGATTTGTGCCAGGAAGGTTTTGTATTTAAGTCCTATTGGAATTGGAAGACTGCACCCCGAGGAAAAACACATGCAGCAATCCAGGAACAGCAAAAATAGACTTGGTTGGGGGGCACTCTAAAATATCACAAACCGGAAGCGTACAGCATCCACTGAGATGAGCCACATTGGCCAAAAGCTCCTGCAGAGTGGATTGATCACAAGGATCTGACCATGACATCGACTGCTGAGAGGATCTCTGTATCGCCAACCAACCCTGTCACCTCCTGGTGATCTATCTCGTTCATGACCTGAAGCCTGTTTTGAAGCTGCCTTGTCTGGCTGTTCTGCGTCTGCATCGTGCACCATCCTTCATAACTAGCCTCTAAAAGGAAACCCAAAGAACTAGTCCATCCATGTCCATCCTAGGAGTTGCGAGGCCAGGGCCAGGGGTGCCCACTCTCCACTTGGATGGGACAGAAAAACATCCATAGGAACTAGGTACACGGCTGATAGACCGCCGTGGTGTAAATCAACTTGAGAGGAGGGAGACACGAAAGGTAGGACAGCGGGAAGAGAAGAGAACACGAGAGGCAGGAACAAAAATGCAATGTTCGACATGGTGATTTATCCCCTCGGAGGCGACCTTTCGTACATATATGTTCATATGCACTTTAAATGTTCAAACATGTGCTCTCGAAATGTTCAAAAAGATTCTTAGGAAAACAAACTTGCCCCATGGCTCAGATCATCGGTGAGCATTGAATCGGAACATCATAGGATTTGAACTATCCTGAAACCATAAGAGGCTCACGAAGACGCCCCCCAGGAGAGAATTGACGCGCTTCACAGAACACCTTTCGTGATTAGAATTTCATATTCACTCTTTCTGAATGTTCAAGAGGGTTTCAACTATCCTGAAATCATGAGAGGCTCACGAAGACGATCTCCAGGAGAGAATTGATTTTAGAGGGGGGGGGGACGGAGGTGTTGGAAAGGCGTGGCGCGAGCAGGAAGGGGTGGGGGGGGGTCTGAATTGAGCGATCAATTATTAGACCCGGACGTCCCAACACTTGCTTCGCAAGACAAACTCAAGGTATCCCCTAAAGGGCTACCTTTCGTGATGATGGTCGTGGGTTAATCATGGGTGGGGTGGGGGTGGGTGGGGCATGTTAACGTTCAGTTGCACTTGCTGCATGAAGTTGATGCATGAAGTTGATGCTCTTGAGTTTTGCATTCAGCGTTTAATACCCGCAGCGTGCCGCAGTACGTGTACATGTGGGCTTGGCACCAAAGCTTGACCTATGCCACACCGGCTCAGTTCTTTCCGACGGCCCAATTAGTTACGTAGTTTCGAAAATGAATCGAAATCAGCATTTCGCCTCAGCGAAACTCTCGTTTCAAGCAAATCTGCTTGGAATTGACCATGATTCCACTGATGAAACGTTGGGCACATCATTCCTAATGGAATTATGGACATTTCGATCGGTCCAAAGGTTCAGGTCTCAGAAAAGCCTCCCGAGTCGACCATTCTTAAACTGGCTCATGTGCATGGTTTTGTAGTATAACGCCCTTATAATAAAACAATCCCAGACGCTTCAAGGGACTGCCATATATGCCTACATTGACCCCCAAAACACGTAGCATCAACTTCATGCAGCAAGTGCAACCGAACGTTAACATGCCCCACCCCACCCCACCCCACCCCCCACCCCATTTCCACACGTAGCATCCACATCCCCCTCAAGCAAACATGCCAAAACGACAGCGTAGAAAACGAAAAATCAAGAAAAATGCAAGAAAACAACACGGCCGTCTATCAGCCGTGGGCCAACTACACTCCCGAAAACTCACATAGACCTTGACCATGGTCCATGGAAGACTATTTTCCTCTACCAACCAGGGGTTTTCAGGTTCCATGTTAGTCTTCCAGAATGTACTGGTCAGTGCACCACTGGTCAGTTCTCCTGCCGAATGTCCACATCTGCCATTGTGATCGATCTCCACAGCAAGCTTGGAAGCCCATGGTCCTTCTCAAAGAGTCGCTCGGTGCAACGCACGCGCATGGAAGAGCGCAACACCAGTATGGTGCCATCTGGCATCTGATACAAAGCCTCCTCGCTCGTGCAGCCGGGCCCTGCTGGGTCTGGGGCAACACAACCTTGGAACAAAAGCGAGGGTGTTTCCACGGACACTGAGGGCTCCAAACAACCTTTGTGGATAAGGTGAGAAATATCGAACTCAAACAACTCTAGCACCTTCATTACTGTATTTGTGCTCCTTTCATCTCTTTTCCTGAAGGCAAGTCACAAAGCTGCTCTAAACTTCGGAAAGTCACAAAGCTGCTCTTTCACAAGTTGCAAGATCTCTCGTTCGTCCAGGCTAGGGAAGGAATACCCCTCCTGCTGCAACATCTCCTGACTACTCCAAGTGGTGAAAAGTATGAACTGGAAAACAAGAACAACTGAAAAATAGTTAGCATCACCAAAGTAAAGGGAAGTCCGAACTTCGGTCATCTGAGGACTTTTTTGGAAATGGAAACTGATCATTGTCAAACCCTGCCATTACTACAGCATCTTCTATCCGCATGCCTTGCAAGATGTCCACAGCAAATCGGGTCCAGTTCCTTGCGCTCTTTTGTTCTCGCTATGACATCACTCACACTTCATCCAACATCACCATCAGAAAGTATGTGTGGAAAACTCTGAAGTACCCGTACCCTACCAATTAATTATAGGAGGCTACCACTGAGGCTACTCACCTGCTTGGCCTTTCGTGTCAGCCGTCCAAGTCTCAATCAGCTCTTTGGTCAGCGCCTTACCAGCCAGCTCCGACTTTTGGATTGCATAGGTGACCTCGACCCACCATTGATCGATTGGATGCGCATTCTTGCCGCCAAAATGGTCACAACGGCACGACAAAACCAATGACATAAATAAGGAATGGGGCGCCAAATTCAAGGCTCTGTCCTCATGAGATCTCATGAAAAAGATCTCAACACCATCCTGATCCTTAAGGACTCCAAAGCAAATTCAAGAGAGGTTAAGTCATAGGACCCATCACCTGAAGTACCAGACTGGGATAGTCTTGTAGGCCTGTAGGGCTCTTCAACCTCTCACGGTGAATCCCCCCGCCCGGCTTCACCGAGAAAGCACTCCATCCACCTCACCCTTCGAACGACTCCAGGCACACAAATGCCCTCGTAGATGGGAATTGCCCAGGTCGCGCTGTGGCCCGAGTCCAGCACCAAACCCGTGGTGCGTCCCGAGGAGTAGAGCGACCAAACGGCACCTGGGCAGGCAGCATGAGGTGGCCTGCCTGTCCGCGTGTAAAAGAGGGTTTGTTTCTTTAAGTTTTTAACATCCCCCCCTATGGCAGGTTCCAGTGTTCTTGTTTACATGCATACCCTAGACTTCCAAGTCCATCAACACAAATGGTTGACCTGGTGGTTTTGCAGTGCAGAATGCTAAGCAATGGTTGTTCGGTAAAACGGTAAAGCCCATCAAGTAGGTGGTGGTTGGAATCCTAGGGCATAGGTAACCAAGTTCAAGGCTTCTAGACAGGCCAACGTTTTCGGGATCCAAGGGCTTCCGTGATTACATCAGAGAGTGTAGGTAGGTTTGAAGGATGCAGGGCACATGCGGAAGATCCACGCAAGGCATTGCTATACCTAGACACTCCGTGGGACTGCCATATATGCCGCCCGATTGACCCCCAAAACCACCCCAATGTAGGCATGTATGGCATACATGGAGTGTCTGGGATAAACATTATTGTTTGCTTTGTAACGATGGTCTCTTCCGAAAATGAGTGCACCAGAATCTCCAGAAGCATTCAGAAGTCACATGTCTCATTGGTCCTCTTTAATGTGCCGAATATGGCCAAATCAACTCACTAAGTCACAAAATATACTCCAGCAAATGTCCAGCATGGAAACCCAGTGGGCTTCGGGTTTGCAGACTTGTGAACGTGGGCCAATTCTTTTTTCAAATGTGACCTACGAAGTGCCCCACGGAGCAGCCTCTGCCGCTGACCCCCCACCGCTTTGGTCGGAGGCGCCGGTGGCCATGTACATGGCTGGTACATTGAAGGTTTCCTTGGATTTCGTCCGGCTGAGGAAACCTACCCCTCAGTTTCCCTTAAAGATGAAGGTTAACAATTTTCCACATACCAGGACCTTCAGTACGTGACCTTTTTGGAGTCTTTAAGTGACCTCTTTAGGGACGCTTCGTGACCTCAGCCACTGGGATCTCAAGGCTGGTCACGTACTGAAGGTCCTGGTTCATAATTGCTGCGACTAGTAGGGTCCAACAGAGGTTAAGTGACCTTATAAGAACCTTCAGGGGTACCTTATAAACGGTGAAGCCCATCCCCCCCAAAACGGGACAGGGCAGGTGATCCACCGATGCAGGGAGTGCTACGGACACCAACCGGCGTGGCACCACGACCCTGTCCCGGACAGAAACACAACAGGGAGTGTCACTGTGACTCAGATGGTTCAGTGGAGTTCAGCACCTGCTCCTCACCCCTAGGGCTGTCGTCCTCCGGTCCCCTCCAAGGGGTGTCCAATGAACTACCCCACACTACCAATAGGCTTCCATTGGGCACCCCTTGGAGGGTCCTGGTACATTGCAAATCTTTTGGGGATGAAATGAAGATCAGTGTTGGCACTGAGGTTATGCCAAACACATACGCTGGGGTGAACACCATGTGATAAAAGTATCATACTGATGCGTTCATGCAACTTCCGGGTGTTCTTCTGACTAACTTGAGGCCGAGGGTAGGTGACGAAAGCTAGCAGGGGTGCATCCGGACTGGTGGG